ACATCAATATGACATCGATTCGATGTTTAATTGATTATCATCTCTTGTTGAATAATTATTTATTCATAAAGCATAAAATGGACTATATGTTTTTTAAAATTTTGTATATACCAAAAAGATATACATTAATTATAGAAAATATATCATCTGAAAAATAAACAAAAGTTACAAATTCTATGGTTTGAATGCTCAAAAAGTATTCGTACAATCGAGAAATTTAGTTTCTAAAATCAGAAATACATGCGAATTGTTTGTTTATCGTTTGTTAGAATAGAATATATTCATTGTATAAAATTGTTAATTAATGTTTATTTTGTACAAATAAGACTTTTTTTATTAAAAAATTTCCTTATACGAGTACTTTTTGTTCTCGCTGTATATGTTATTACAACCTGTCTGTGTGTAAAAATATAAACAGTTACAAGTAAACGATGAATTACACTGACATGTTTTTTTTATTTCTATACTTAGATAATAGAAAAATTTACTGATCCGAAATGTATATATAAGAAACAAAATCTTTCAAAATGCGTTTTGTCCAAAATTTAATTTTCAAGAAACAAAAAAGAAGGCCAAGAAAATTGCGCGTTTTACAGAAAATGATAATTTGTCAATTAGTATAAAATGTGAAATGTTCAACAAAATTGCTAAACAGTTGCTAAAAATGTTAAACAAATACATTTTGTTCGTCTCTAGTTGAAGGACATAATGCACTTTGAATGTCAAAATTTTTTTCAGCACATAAATTGATGTTTTCAGGAACAAAATGCTTTCAGAAACATCGTAGAATAGCTTACCATATGAGTCTTTCAACATTAAATGTTATGGCTTCTTTAAAAAATGAAATTTTTGACAAAATGCATTTTGAAAGTTTGCTCTTCATGTATATACCTTTTCTTGTCAAGAATATTATACTTAATACAGCTTATATACTTAATATAGCTTATATACTTGAAAAACATCGCGCGCACTTAAAATTGTACAAAAATTATGTAGCATCGAATAATTCGATATTACATAACAAAGTTATCTCAATTTTTTGATTACGTATTTTTTATTAAATAATTGTCGCTAAAAATAAAATATTGTTACAAAATTTAAATAAATTGTGCGCTATATTATTTCAATAATTGAAATAAATTTTAATGCTTCTTGCGCATCATGCCTTAATTTGCATCTCGTTTTCACATCTGTATATATTTAATTATACAATATTTCGCATACAATTATACAATATCTCTCGATATACTTTAAATTTTTCCGAGAAAAATTCTATGTTCTTTTTAAAACTTGAGAAAAAAACATTCTTAGCTGTACGCACACATGACCGATCATTTCGCAGATCAAGGCCAAGAGTCCTGAGTTGGAGAGCGTTTGGACAAATATGAAGAACAAGCTGTCTGAAACGTTCAACAATTTAAATGTCAATCCTGAGACAACGGAGCAGATAAATCAGCTGAGTACCAAGTTCCAAGAGGGTGTTCAGACTCTTGTGTCAGAATCAGAGAACGCCGCTAAGACCATCAGCGAAAATTCCAGCAAGGTTCAAGAAGGTATCGCCAAATTTACCAAACAAGCAATTGACATCGCCGTGCAGGCTTCGCAAAACCTGAGTAATCAGTTGCAGCAGGCCACGACACCACAACCAGAAAATTAAGAATATCAAATTATTCCTGTAAATTACTAATGTGCATAACATCTTGGATAAATTCGCGAGAGTCAATTTCGCCAAGTCAGTTGAATCTGCGTAATTTCGTATCGTATTATAAACATACTTGATAGCTGATAAATAATTAATAAAAGTACTTGATCATTGTCATCGTGATCTTTATTTGTTTCCCTAAATTATTACATTATCATATCATTATTCCGATAAGATATCTAATATTTCTTAATACTTAATAGTAGTTCTCACTGTAATAATTGAATCTGCATTTAGAGAGGCCGATATTTTTCATAGTTGGATGTGATATTAAAGACCGTCTTAAGTACAATTTTAAAATGTCATGAAATAGAGGGCCGTATTAGCATCTTAAAATATTATTTATAGGATGGTTTTAAATTAAGAACTATAAATACAATTTTTAGAATCACTAGCTTAGATTTACACTGTCTTTCTTTTCTATTAATGAATCGATTCGCGTCACGGAATCGATGTACCTATATAACTTTG